CCCCAAAACCCCAAAACCCCAAAACCCCAAAACCCCAAAACCCCGTCGACAAACAAATTTGTTGTAAATATTTATAAAATGGAGAAAAATTATTCTTTAGACCAAAAGGTTGAAGGTATGGCAAAGGAGAAAGGTAGGATAGGGTTGGATAGGTTTATAAAGCATAGATGAGGGTGTGAGTATGATGAGTAGAGGGAAAGCCTCTTCTCCTGAAAATATTGATTCTAACTTGGATAATGACCTTGAAACGATAGACATAGAATTCATAGATGATAAAAAGTACATATTGCTATAATTTCTAGAAAAATTGATACTCAAAACTCAGCATACTTATTTAAGGCAATTCCAATCTGTTCTTCATTTGAAGAAAACAAATCCACACCAACCTTAGCTTATGAATTTGAAACAAAGATCTGTAAGGCAGTCGGTCAAAGCATGTTTAATTGAAGTGCAATACCAGACTCAGACAGAAATGAGCTTGACGCTTTAGTGTGAGGTAAACTGAAGATCTTATTATAGATGTACAAAAAGGAAACAATGAAAAAGTTTTAGTAAACGAGGGATACTGTTTCTCTAAAACATGGAGGGTTTGAAACATCGGTCTCAAATCATGGCCCAAATTAACAAAGCTTATCTGAACATTTCCAGGTTTAAAATACAAAAACATAAGCTTGACTTCTCCGATTTCTAAATAACAAGATCGTTGATATCACTGTTGTTTTTGAAGTGCCAAATCCTGGCCCTTATGCTTCAATGAAAGGTAAAATTCTAGATAATCCATTAGATCCTGAGAACCCTATTCTTACTTTGAATTTCAACTTAATAACGCCTACTGATTATATATAATTGGTCCTCCGTTGATATTATACCTTCATTACAATGAAGAATTTTTCACTGCCATACTGAATGCCGATCACGATCCCAGAAAATTCCTATTTCTTACAAAAATCAACACCGTGTGTAACCTCAATAGAATGCTAAAACTTGATTAATTCAATTTGCTTAGAAGAGAAGGGGTTTTGGGGTTTTGGGGTTTTGGGGTTTTGGGG